TTTTTTTTTTTTTTTTGCTGTACTCGGGCCTCTCACTGTTGTGGCCTCTCCCGTTGCGGAGCACAGGCTCCGGACGCGCAGGCTCTGCAGCCGTGGCTCACGGGCCCAGCCGCTCCGCGGCATGTGGGATCTTCCCGGACCGGGGCGCGAACCCGCGTCCCCTGCATCGGCAGGCGGGCTCTCAACCACTGCACCACCAGGGAAGCCCCCTATACTGTCTTTTTAAAACTATCAATTTATCTGTTGTCTAGAGTTGGCAGCATTCCGAGGCCTATTTTTGAGTCTTGTGTCAGTCAGATTTCACTCTACTTATTTTTTTACTGTGTTCGGTAGTTTTTATAAGGTGAATTCAAATTTACCCGATCTCCATCTGAGAAAATCCTGAGGTGCCTGGGTTAAGGGTAAGGTCCTGCATTGCTTTTTTTTGCCCCCTGCATTGCTTTTACGTCCCCATGCTACACTAGATTGTGATGAGCTGGGACACTTGAAAAACAATTTTTCATCTTGGCATGAAGGGAAAATTTTAATAATAATAATAGCAAAATAATACTAATAAGCATAAATTCAAAGCCCAGATCTATGACAGGACAGACTCAATGGATATGCATCCTCGACGGGGGTCTTTTTCCCACCAGAGTCAAGTATTTCTTACTGTCCCTTTGCTCACAGTGCATATCCCTCCCCCCTCCCGTTCTGTCCTCTTCCCTCCTTCTAAAGCCATCTTTCCTCTAAGTCTGTAGGACATATAGGGTCCTGGTTGTATGTAAATCTCTCAGCTTCAGATTTCCACCTTTCTGGGAGGTCTGCTCATTTGCCGTAGGGTTTGAGAGTTCTTTGTCCTCTGAGCCTATGGGCCCTTCGGAGTTGTGTCAATGGCACCAGGAAACACAGCCCTGAGGGGGGTCTTCTTTACAATGGGCCCCTCTCAGTGCCTGGCAGCCTCCTTGATAACAGGAACCTGGGAGGCTTGCTGAACAGGGCACAGTGACTTGAGTACACAAGGGCCGATCACTCTTGAGGAGCCAAAGCACCAATCACAAGGCAGAGTCAAAGGGAAGTGGTCCTACCCCTGCTCCACTGCAGGGTAAAAGCAAACCTCTGGAGTTGTTTGGTGAGACTAAGTGTTTCAAAGAGTGGGTGTAAGTTTGGGGGAAGACAGGAATCAAAAGTTATATCAGTGACTTGAAAAAGGCCACTTGATCAGGCTCTGGAGATAAGAACCAGACCCTCCTGGAAACCCAGGCGTGGAGGAGCCGCAGACTGATCTGGTGTCTGCCCTGCTCAGGGTCTCTGCTTCCCTTCTCACTCTCTCAGTGGTTCCTCCCCACGTGCCCAGCCCTAAGTTACACCCTGGAGACAAGGAGGTGAATCAAATGCAGCTCCTGCCCTAGAAAAGTATTAAAAGCACTGGGAGAGTGGGCACAGATGTTAGCTCTAGCTGGAGGCAAGTCAAAAGGGCTGCCTTGAGGACACGATGCTGGAGGATTCCTTTGTTCCACAAATGTTGGAGCGTTGATTCCGTTTCCAGGCCCTCTTAGAGGTGGGGAAGCAAGATGCCTGTTCTCATGAAGTTCCTGTTCTAAAGGAGTGGGATGGTCAGTAAATATGCAACCAAAGAAGTAAGACAGTTTTACATAGAGAAGAATTACAAGCAGTTAACTAAAACAGAGAATTATAATTTTGTGATAGAATGGTTAGGGAAAGCCCTTTCTCCAGCAATAATATTTAAGATGAAATCTGAACGACAACAAGCAATTATGCAAAGATGGAGAGAAGTGTCCTAGGCTGGAAGAGCCAGTGCAAATGCCCATGTTCAGCTTTGAATTTGAGTTGTCTACAAACAATTCCTTTCCTTGTGCCTAGCGCTGCGCTGCGATGAGCCCAGAGAGGGCAGCTGACGAATGTTCTGAATGACAAGGGAGGAATGAGGTGACTCAGTGCTGTAGGTGTTTAACCCCTTCCCTCCTGCTCCTAGTAAATTAAATATGAATGGAAGGGGGAACTAGGCAGAACAACTGATACACAGGTGTGCGCCTGTACATGTGTGTCTGCATGAGCATGTGTTTGGTAGGATGTCTACGCACGTCCCTTCCAGAGACAAATATTTGGAAAGAACTATCCTCTGGGATTCTGATCTATGATCTGAGAATCTGTGATTCTAGAGGATCAGATAGCAGAGCTGTAGAGACAGATACATGGGAGGGAGCAGTGGGAGGAGTCTGGGGTGTTGCAGTAGAGAGCTGCCCAGTGCTAAGCTGGAGACCCCACCAGCAGCCCTGGAGAACTGCCCAGGACACAGCAGTTCTAAGGATGGTTGTTCATTAATCTGCGGTTGAAGGCCAGTCCAGCACTGTCCCTGGTCACCAGACTAATTGGGGCTGACATTGCTGAGGCATCTGCCAGAGGCCTAGGCTGGAGGACCAGCTTCCCTGCCATAGCCTCTGTGCTCTGAGGAAGCCCTTAGTAAGTCATTTCTGAGGACAGAAGAGGAGGCCTCGGCCAAGAGTCTGGCCACTTGGCTTGATCCTGGTGAGTTCCAGGCAGGGGCTGTGGTGGGGTTGTCAGGCCCCCTGAGGGCCTCTGTCTCTCTGACCTGGGGCCTTGTGCCCTTCCTGGATCCAGGTTACCATCTGCAAACTAAAGGTGGTCTTTTCAGCCAAACAGAAGAATGGAAGTGGGGTGTGTATGCCAGCAACATGTTTAGCTCTGGCTTTGGCCTCCCACATAATCAGGGGAGCTTAAGAAAGGGGGAAGGTGAAGGAGATTTGATCAAGAAAATTCCCTTCCGGGACTTCCCTGGCAGTCCAGTGGTTAAGAATCCGTGCTTCCACGGCAGAGGGCAGGGGTTCCATCCCTGGTCAGAGAACTGGGATCCCACGCAGTGCCACGCAGTGCAGCCAAAACAAAATAAACAAACAAACAACAACAACAACAAAAAAAAAACAGAACAAAAAAGAGAGAGAACATAAATAAATTTAAAAATTAAAAATCCTAAAACAAAAAAAAAGAAAGAGGGAAAGAAAGAAAATGCCCTCCCAACTTGCTACTTGTCACTGAGTCCTGGAGGAAAGGAAGGGTTAAGGGAGCTGACAGGCCAGGGTGGCCAAGGACAGATGCAGTAGTTATGCAGCAAAGGCAGGGACGTTGGAATTAGAGGTCAGAGAGGAGCAGAGGGATAGGCCCATGGGGGCTGGGCTGTGAGGCTTCCTGGAAGGGGACCAGCTCGAGCAAAGGCTGGATGGGAATCTGATGGCTGGATGGGGGCACAGAGCCAGAGAGGCGTCTCGGAAGCATGCAGAGGATCCTGCCAGGAGGAGTATGAGCTGACCCTGCTGGGCCCAGGGTGAACAGAAATTTTAGGAGCCTGGGTTCTGGCTGGAAAAATGGCCTCTCAGTGGAAAATCTCAAACCAAGGGAAGGAGGTAAATCTAAGTGTCAACTGGCCAGGATCAATGACCAAAGAAGGTTCCATTCTCAGGGTCAGAATAAGTTTCCATACCTCAGGGTACTCTGGGTCCCGAGTCCCAGCAAGTGCCTGTCACAAAGTAGAGACTTTATTGAACAGGATGATAGACAGGCTGTTGGGGAAACAGCTGTGATTCCGGGGGTTGTTGGGGCCCTGTGGTGTAAAACAGAGATTTTTATGTGACATGAGACAATGGATGTTGTAAAACAGGTCCCGCCAAGCAATGGGTCACATGCTATAGTTTGAGTCTATCTTTAGCGTCCATAGGAAGCAGAAGAGGGGAATTTAGGCTACTTAGGCCCTCAAGAAAGGGAGTTGAGAAGAGAGCAGACAAAGGTCACGCAAGAAATGAGCTCTCTTTGCCGGGCCATCAGGAACAGTGCTTGTGTGTCATTTGTAGACCCTGTGGGCTTTCGTGCTTAGGGCTGCCTAACCAACTAAGCCTTGGGCCCACAGGGCATGAGAGCCCCAGGGAAAGTGGGCCCCTATTATATTACTCTCGCATCTATATTTGTTTTAGCACTGATCTAACTCTAATACATTTTGCTTGTGCTAGTAGTAGTTTTCCTAGTAGCCTGGGGGTAACTCAGGGCCAAGAGTTGTGATATCCCCCTCTGTGTCAGCTGCCCCGAGCACAGGGTCCAACGCATCAGAGATGGTAGCAAACCAAATGAGATGGAATTATTTTCTTTGACTTTCTCCACTCTAAGGTAAGGACCATGTTCCTGTTTTTGTCACTTCCTGTCCTCCTTCTGTGTGTGGTGACAGCATCCTGCTCAGAAACAAAAGCCTGTGAGGATGCCCGGAAGACCTGTTCAGTGGTGACCTGTGGCATCCCGGTCACCAACGGCACCCCAGGCAGAGATGGGCGAGATGGACCCAAGGGAGAAAAGGGAGAACCAGGTATAGGACAGGCCGCTCTGACTTCTTAAATCTTTTACCCCAATGGGAGAGTGTTCTCTATAAGGGATCTAGCACAGAGACATGAGGAGGCTCACCTTTCATTACGGTAGGTGATGATTCACTCAGAAAAATTCCTGTAAAAGGGCATTCTCTCCAAAATAAGATGCTTCTCTGGCTCTCCAGGATCCCTCATTGCCACCCAGGAATTGGCGATGTGTGGTTGTCCTTCGAGAAGGGGTGTCTTTTCTGCTCAGGGAGCTGGCCCTTAGGACAGTCCATCCCCTGAGACACAGGAGGATCTTTCTTCTTTGGATCACTACTAGCTGAGTGGTGGTTTCTTGGGGTCAATCAAATATTGAGCTTTTGGAGAAAGAGAATGAGCGACAGACACTGGGTCACATTTCCTTCCTCTTCCAACAGGGCAAGGGCTCAGAGGCTTGCAGGGCCCTCCAGGGAAAATGGGGCCTCAAGGAAATATAGGGAATCCTGGGCTTCCAGGACCAAAGGGCCACAAAGGAGATCGTGGAGACAGTTCGGGTAAGGAGCTCACCTCAGCAAGTGATGTGGGCTGAGGGGACCCAGGACCTGGGAACTCCAGGGCCAGGTGGGAGGTGCCCCTTCTCCTGCTGCCCCACTGGAAGATGCTCAGCTCTGCTTCCTGACCCAGCGCCCTCATTCCTCTCAGTTCCTTGGGGCCCAACGGGATTCCCACTGGTGCCCGGGTATAGACTTCCGAGCCCTGCCCGCCCCACCCTCAGCAGACCTCTGTAGGACATGTGCCCTGGCCCTTCCTCAGCTGCAACAGTCCAGTGCGTGGTTCCAGGCTGCAAGGGAGGAAACTGGTCCTCTATGCTGTTGGATTATGTCTGTTGTCACAAGAGTGGCATGAAAAGGGTTGGCCTCATAGGACCCCTGGATAATGGGGGACATCACAGCATCTTAGTTCAGAGTAAAATAAATTCAGTAACAACAAAACCAAAAGGATGACCTCTTACTTATATTTGTCCACTGGCCTATCAAAACAATAAACGTATTAAAGAGTTTGCCTAGAATAGGAAATGAAAATATGATTAAGAAAAGCTTTCAAAAAGGAGAAAAATTAGCTGGGCCTTTTCTTATAAATAATTATAATATTACAATATTTAAGCAGTATATGAAGAAAAGGATCCAGAGCTATAGTTTACGGTATTATTATTTCCAGAGTTATAGTTTACAATAGTTACTAAGTATATCTGAGAAGGCAGGAATACAGTTTTTTTCCTTTTGCTTCTTTTTGTTTTCCTATTTTTCTGGAATACGAATACTTTTCAGTAAGCTAATTTTTTTTTTTTTCTCTCAAAATACTCTGCTCTCCAATTGAGGGTCTTCTTCTAAATAAATATCCTCTCCTATTGCTTTGTAGTTGCCCAGGCTAAGCTGGCTGACTTAGAGGGACAGATAAAGAGCCTGAAATCACAACTGGATCACATCAAAAAGTGTAAGCTTCTTTTCTGTCCCCAGTGTGTTCCTGACTCTAACTTTTTTCTCCAGAGTGCTCTAGGTTTTGGGGGGACGGTGGAAAAGAGCTTACACTTATGACGACTTATTGTATACTAGGTTGGAATTTTCTCATAATGTGGTTTTATTCAATTCTCTTGCCACCCCTGTTTGTGGGTATTACACCCATTTTATTTACAGGTGAGAAAAAAATAGGTCCAGGAAGTATAGATAATTCATTCAACAGCGTACAGTTAGGAAGTGGGAAGGAGGATGGCGTGGAGGTCTGCTGACTCTGGAATCTTTGCTCCTTCCTTAGCACCCACGGGCCTCAGGTGGCGGTCCACGCCTCTTTCTCATCCTGGTGCCCAGGTCTGGCAGTGGGGCTCAAGCATGTTTCCCTAGGTCCACCTGTACTGGGACAGTTTTTAACAGATATTTGTCCTAAGGATGGGATATGCCAGGAGAGCCCCGGCTTGCTGCCGGGGACTTGCCTTCCACCTTCTTACTAGGATCTCACCAGAGGTGGCAGAGAATGGGGCTCAACCCCAGACTCCCAAGTTCCCAGAGAAGGGCTTTTTTCATCTGCTGTCCCAGGCTGGGCTTGAAGCCAAGTCAACCTCACCTACATTTTGTGATTTCAGTGCAAAGCTTCTCCTTGGGCAAAAAGTCTGGAAAGATGCTCTACGTGACCAATGGTGAAAAGATGCCTTTTTCCAAAGTGAAGGCTCTGTGCGCTGAGCTTGGGGCCACCGTGGCCACCCCCAAGAATGCTGAGGAGAACAAAGCCATCCAGGACATGGCCCCTGACATTGCTTTCCTGGGCATCACAGATGAGGTGACCGAAGGCCAGTTTATGTATGTAACAGGAGGTAGGGTGGGCTACAGCAACTGGAAGAATAATGAGCCTAATAACCATGGCTCAGGGGAGGACTGTGTCCTCCTCCTAAGAGATGGGCTCTGGAATGACATCTCCTGCTCCTCCTCCTTCTTGGCCATCTGTGAATTCCCAGCCTGAAGAGGCAGTTTCCTCCGCCCACTCCTTGGCTCCCTGCTGAGGTCCCTGCCGCTCTGAAAGAGAATTCAATGCCAGTTTCCCCATGTCCAGTGTTGATTCATTCCTTCATGGGGATGGGAAAAAAGCAAGGGGACATATTTGACTGTGGGAGGATGAAGTGAAAAGAGACTGCCAGTGGGGCATGAGGGTTTCTGGTCCAGTCCAGTCCATGGCAAAGGACACCTTCTGTCCTGCCAAAGAGCACAGCATTGGGTCAGAGACAATCTCAGAAAAAGCACATTCAAACCCTCTCCTTTTTTAGTGAGGACACTGCAGCCCAGCAGATGGATCAATGGAGGTCCACATCTGTGTCCGCATAGGCAGTGTCTCAGCTTCCAAGAGATCCAATTCCCGTTTTTCCAAGTTGCCACTACCTGGTGCCAGAGTCTCCTTCCCATGGCTAGCCCAGCCCTGTCTACGACATGAGTGTTGTTTTTAGCTGTTCATGAGCTGTACACTGAAACTGTAACACTTGGCAGTGTCCTACATGGGTGACAGCGAATAGTCCTAGGAATCCCCTCACTTGCCCAAGTGGCTGTGGCCTCCCGATAGTCACTAGGGTGATCTTGAGAACAAAGGGCAGCCTTCCCTTCCCGCATACTTTTAGGAGACTCTTTTGGTATTGTGGCCTATGCCAGTATTGCGGGAGGAGGCAAATGGTCAGGCAGGCTGGGTCCTTCCTTACAGGGCATCATCGGTCTTAATGCCTCCGTGTTCAACATCCCCTTTCTTCTGTGACATCCTCATCCCGTTATAGGTCAATGGGTCCATTATTCGTAGAGACAAGAGGGAAGATCTCCCTAAAGGTGCATTTCACACACTGGGGGGCAAATGATGCAGCACCATCCGGTCAGCAAATAAAACCTCCCCTCTGAGCAGAGTTCTGACACCATCTTGGCCCACAATCAAGCTCATGACCGTGGATGTTCTTGAGTAATCTCAGGGTGGATGGAGCTGGGATTCTATGGAGCCCAGGCAGCAAACTGGGGGAAGAGAGTGAATTCCGGTTCCAGCTGTATGCCAATCACAAAATGAGACTGCAAATATTTCATGAATGGGCTAAAGGCCACTTTAACTTAATGAAACATCTTTGTTAAATTAGTTTTCCATTTTACTTTTCTTTGTATCCGCACTACCAGAGGGAGCGCCTCACACTTGGTGAGTGCTTGATGAGTATTTGTTGCATGGGTGCACCAAAGAATTACCAAATGGACGAGTGGGTGGGATACTGCAAATTGAATATTATAGGGTGGAGTTCTCTCTGAGCTGTGTTTCTTCTGTGAGGCTATCGGGGTGGGGGTGGGATGTGCTGAAGGCATTGGGGGTGGCAGGTTGAGGAGGACAGTACCTGTGTCCTCAGCCTCTGGCCCACTTAGACTGTCACATCACTGAATTTTCAACTTCATGAGGGTCTTCTTCAGACACTGCACTTGGGGGCAGTGAGAAGGGTACCTTTGTGATGTACAGCAGAACAATTCACTATTTGCACTTCAAATCCAGACTGCTTGCCAAAGGAATGGGAAACTGCCTAAAATTTAGAGGCACATATGAAACCTAGGTAACGTAGGTTATGGCAAATAGAAAAAGGAAAGACCAGAAAGTTTTTAGAAGGAAAGAAGATACACGTAAGACAACCCAGAACAAGAGAATTATCATAATCAAGCATGAAAGTTGCACCTGAATTTTCTCATTGCCAAGACAAAAATGAGAACGTGGACAGGTAACCATTATATAATTCTTTCTATTTTATGTAAGGCGGGGGGGCGGGGACCATGTCTACCTGAGATGATTGTCTCCTTTGTTTATACTGTGCATAAAGGTCAGTGTACAAGACGCAGTCACGTGCTTCACAGGAATTGTTTCCCCGCATGTAATGAGTGCCCCCTCAGTCAGGGAAATGCAATGAAGATCTGCGGATGAGCTCAAATTTTTCCATTTCCCTTTCAGTCTTCTTCTAGTTCCTTCCATGGTGCTCCCTTCCCCCTTCATCCCTCAATCACTAGAGCCTCACATTCCTACTCTGAGCGCTTTCTATGCCACCCAAGACCTGACCCTGCTCCCCTACCCTTAAGTCATCCCCAGTGGACATGAAGCTTTCTCCCCAGGCTCTTGGACATGTGGAGTTGGTTCTTCCCCTGATCTGGCACCTGATCGTCTTTTCAGATCTCCTCTCTCTAAATGTATCCCCTGGCCGGCATTCTTCCCTCAGTCTAGGATTGAGGCAACAACCTCCCTGTATTTACTTCCCAATTCTTATCAGCAAGCAGTGGGGCCCCAGGCAAATCAGCTCAAGAGAAGGTGGAGTTAACCTAAAAATGGGTTCTCATGAGAGTCGAAGGATAGAAACTACAGTTCATCCAAGCTTCCCAAGACCTAAAACAAGAGGGAAATTATGGATTCAAGAATACTGTCCAGATCATCTCTTTCACTCTCTCAAGGGCTGAGGGCAGGCTGTTTTCCTTTACTAAGGGACATAGTGATGATTGACATCTCTTGCACGGGGGACCTAATGAAGCCAGGTGCTCCAAGGACAGACCTCAGGGGCCTCGGGCAGCACATTCCCCTTGGGACTTGAGGACTCAGCAACTTCTTGAGCCCCGTTGTTTGTTCTCGTGAAATAGGAGTCTTCGCCATGGCATACTGGCTCCCTGGGCCTCAGTTTCCCTATCTGTAAATTGGTCAGTAATGGCTTCTCCCTTTTAAAGCTGGATGAATCAACGATCACACACAGATGCAGACCTGCAGGGCCCTTTCAGGGGCAAAGCTGCAGGATCCGAGAACTGTCTTCCGTTTTTGTTAGCTGCCAATTTTTTCCAAACTCATTGTGCCCTGAACACCTATCACCAATTTCTCAGTTCCATAGAAAGTCAGTCTGAGTGAGTTAGAATGGCAAACACACCCCGCTCTTGAGATGGGGACTTTGAGTTTAAATTATGTCTATAAGTCAACAGTTTCCCATGAAGGTATATAGATACAGCCAATGTGATTGCAATTTGCTTCCTGTACTAGAAATGGAAATAACTACCAAAACTCGCAACATACAAGGCCCGGGCTCTGGCCTGGATTCTGGATCCTGGTACGGCAAGGCCTTGTTGCCGCAGGACAGTCTTTCTTTGGAGTCTTCCAGCTCTACTGTTCTCAGTTTTTAGCCGTGCCCAAGCCAGAGGACAGGGGCTTGGGGTACCAGCTGAAGGCCTAGCATTCACACTCCTCAAATCCCCTACCTGCCCAGGACCAGCCTGCCTCCCTTCTCTGGCTGTCAGAGGTGGGCAGGAACCAGGGTTCACAGTTTGCTCATTATTGTGTAACTGAACTATGCTTTAGAACCTGCCAGGAATCAGGGATTTTTTTTTTTTTTTTCTTTTCTTTTCTCATTAACCAGGAAGGGATTGAACATTATCATGGAGTGTGGGCTGGAGATGCCGGGAAGTGGACTTTGAAAATTGATGTTGTCCTCCTAACCCTAAGTGGCTGGTGTGGTGCTGGGAAACGAGGAGGATCTCAGGGCGTGGTGCTCTTAGCCCTGGTGGTAACCTGTGCGAAGAGGAGAACAGTATCTCTAACTACGGACCCGTGGGTTGTCCGAGCAAATACAAGTGGCATATGCTCAAAAGCAGTGAAATGCAAGTAACCATTTATTAGCCTAACAAAAGCCTTGGGCTGGGCCAGCCGCCACCGACCCCAAATCCGGCCTGCCCTGTCCTGGCAAGCACAGCGCTTATGCCACCTCATGCAGCTTTCAGAGCAGCGACCCGCAGAATTGCCTGGAATGCTAGCCAAAGTCATAGGCTCTCAGCTCCACTCTGCACCCAGTGAATCAAAATCTCAGAAATCTGTCACCTTCGCGAGGCCCCGAGGTGACCCGGGGCTTTTGTCAGTTTGGGAAACGACTGCCCTAAGAAATGTAGTCACCATAGCTGCTTTCTGCCTCCCCCTCACTTTTGCAGGAGGGCCTAGAGCCAGGAAGCCAGGCTTCTCCTTTCCTTGTAGACCCTTCATGAGGTGAAGGGCGTCCTGCTTCACTCTGTACATTTTTTCTTCCATTTTTGTTGAGATATAACTGACATATAGCACTGTATAAGTTTAAGGCGTACAGCCTGATGATTTGACTTACATACATCATGAAATGATTATCACAACAAATCTAGGGAACATCCATCATCACATCTAAATAGTGCTTCTCTCTATATTGTCAGACCTGAGATAATCTTCTGTCAGCTGATCGATGTCACTAGTAAAAAACAGCTGCTGACTGAAATCCTTCCCTATGCATTTCCAGGGTCTCCTTGTGACCCCTGGGAGTGGGTCTGGGCCTGGAACAGCCCTGGGGAGCGTCAGAGAAGGTGAGGCCCTGGGCAGGTGAGACTCTGAGTGGGGAATTGTGTGTACATGGACTTGGGGGTATTGGCATGTATTTTTGAGCGTGTGGGAGCGTCTGTAGGGAAACCAACAGACCCAGAGCTTGAAGTTCCCAGCATCCTGTTGTTAGGGGGCTCAGCCTCTGCCCTGCCCCCAGCCTGTGTCCAAGCTGCTCTCGGCACACCCTTCACTGAGGACCATTGGCTCTGAGTGGTTCCAGGGGCTCTGGGTAAGGTGTGTGCGTGCTTGGTCATGGACTAAAGGGTCCGCAAGGGGCTGTGAGTTGTGTGATGGGACCCGCTAGGGCTCAACAGAGACCGTCTGGGTGCTAATATGATCCTCCGCCCCTGCCAGGTCTTGGATTGTATGTCACCACTACCCCCCGCCCCAAAATCCTTATCTGACCACTGAATCAAGGTTGACCCAACCCCAGTCACCATTATGATGCCCTATTTTATCTTCTTATTAGCAATTATAGTCACCTGAAATCAACTTGACCATTTACTTGTTTAAGTTATGTCAGTGTAGCAAAGTCAATGAAGAGCCAGACTGCCTGGATTCAAACCCTGGTTCTACCACATTGTAGCTGTGTGACCCTGGGCAAGTCACATACACTCTCTGTGCTTTAGTTGCCTTCTTGGTAAAATTGGAATAATAATAGTGCTCACCCCACAGGGTTTTCATG